AATTTCTTTCAATTACCTTGTGAATTCAGTTTGAATGAATGATCTTCCCAGAAGTTTGTTTTATCTTCTGCAAGGGAACTTGAGTTTGGCATGTTTAATAAATTAAGTTAATTAAGTTGGAGAAGCCCAAGGTTAGTACACTTCATTTTAGGACACACTTTTGGTGGGGGAAGTGGAGGGGTGGTGTGGCGATGGTGATGATTTTATTTAAACTCCTTGGCATTTTTTAGCAGGTTAGTATGATTTCAAAGCAGTGTTGTTGTTGTATTATTAACTTGTGGGACTGGGCCAAAGAAAATTGTCTTAATACTTGCATGTCCCTGTCATCTAATCAGTGCTATAGAAACTTTAACACTGAAGTCCATGTAAAATTCTAATTATTTTTTTTTCCAGAAATGAAAGAGAACTATTTTACTGCATTCATGGATTTAGGTTATAATTTATTTTATTTTTGTGTTACTGTTTAAAAAAAGTGATATAATGACAGGGCAGACCCTTAATTTTAGTCAAGTGCTAAAACAAACATGCAATAAGCTTGCATGAGGCAGGGCAAGCTGTGTTTGTTGTATTATGAAAATAAAGGAAAATGTTTTCAAAACCAGCCTTTTTCTCTAAAAGCAAAAGACTTTGACTAATACCTGGCCATGGGTGGGATTTCCAACTGTTGGTTGAAGGAAATTTTGTTCATTATGGCCATTACATGTGCTATGTTTCTCATAGTTTAGGATTTGCTATGCTGAGATTGCTACTGTGAACCATTTCTTTATAGCAAGTTTCCCTGTATTCATTACCTTATGTGTCTAAACAATGCTCTAGATTAGACTTTATGTCGATCTGCTATACTAAATTTTCTTCCCCTATGTCTAGGTGTTCTCTTTGACCAACCTTTAACTGCCCCGGTTCTGAAATTCTGCCCTAATTGAAGGATATTCCTGGGTCTTTGGAGGGAGAAATGGTTCAGGGGCAGAGGCAGAGGAAACAGGTTTTTTTTTTGTTTGTTTGTTTTGTTTTGTTTTGTTTTGTTTTGTTTTGTTTTTTTAAGCCCCATCTCAGGAGCACTTAACTGACTGCCTACTATATACCAGACTTTGTGCTAGTTACTAGGGGTGAGTGTGAATAAGGCAGGAATCCCACCCTCCAGGAGGAGCTTACACACGATTAACAGATAATTACAATTCAGTGTAACAAGTTTTATGAGAGAGATAACTTTGCGGGAGCACCAAGCGAAGCACTTGACCCTTAGCGGTGAGGTGGTGGAGGTCAGGGAATGCTCCTGGAAGGTTAGGATCTGGAAGGACCCTGGGAGATAAACCAAGCCTAGAAGAGGTAAAAAAGGGATCAAGAGGCTTTCTATCTCCAGTTTTGCTACTCCTGGGTAGGTCAAAGTGCCTGTCGTTTTACATCTGGAAAATAAGAATAAGAACTGATATCTGGTTGATAATTCTAGTTTTCATTTACTACGTGTTCCTTAATCCTTTATATTACTCTTTCTTCCATATTCAGTAGACATTTGTACCCACCCTGTACTGGGAAGATAGCACTGCAGGAAACAAGATGTGAATGGACCCCTTCTGTCATGGAACTTACCTTCTATCATATGACATTAGTAGGAGAAGTTCTTTTAAAATGCCTTCAAACTCAGGCATATGTATCTTGTTATTCTTCCATTTTAAGAACATTTTCTGCAAGATAATCTCAATACTTTGAGGTGAGCTGGCCTTTCCCTCTGAGGGAAGGAGACCACAGAGCCTGGTAATCTGATTTTCATTTTATATGCTTGAAATATTTTGCTAGGATTTATCTGTTTTGAAGTCTAGAGATAGACATAGCTGTGTTTTATCTATAGCCCTGCCTTGCTTCCATCTCATTTTCTCTATTCTTACTTTTAACCCAACTTGTGTTTGAGGTTCTTTGCTCAGTGTATAGTTTGCTTTGTAGAATAATTCAAATCTAGTGCTGTGGAAAGTCAGACTTTTTTATTTATTTGAGATAGGGTCTTGGAGTGCAATGGCATAATCCTGGCTCACTGCAGCCTTGACCTCCTGGGCTCAAACTATTCTCCCACTACAGCCTTCCAAGTGGCTAGGACTGCAGGTGTGTGCCACTATGCCTGGTATTTTTTTCTTTTTCTTTTTCTTTTTTAAGAAATGGGCTCTCACTACATTAGCCAGGCTAGTCTCAAACTCCTGGGCTCAAGGGATCCTCTCACCTTGGCCTCCCAAAATGTTGGGATGACAGGTGTGAGCCACCGCATCTGGCTAATACTTATTTTGAAGTCACCCTATCATGGTGCTTTGCTTCACTAATGCATTTCACTTATGATCTTCAAGTCACTCAGAGATGTAAACACAATAGAAAGCATCCCAACCAGAGGAAGGTAACTGCATTCATTTACAAATTTCTTTTTTGCAATGATTCAAACACTACAGATGTGTCTAAAGTAAACATAAAAAATCTCTCTCTGCCACTTTAACCTTACACATCTGATATCAGTTTGTTCCACAACCTTCCATAGTTGTCCTTTTGCTTATACAAACCTACAAAAATTAGTACTTATGTATATTTATGTGTGTGTGGGATGAGTGTGGGTATGTTTTTACATACTCATATGTATGTGTGTGTGTGTATC